CAGCAACTTTCATAGGCGTTAAATATTATTTAAAAAGCATACTACAATGGCTGATTATATTTCTGATGGAAAATTATAATTTATTCTACATACAGTTGACTATAGACAGTTGATAAGGATATCAACAACTCTTCATGTTCTGAATGAAGCTTAAAGCTTTATTCAGAACCTCGCAATGTTGATGTTCTGAATGCATAAATTAAAATTAAATCAACAAATTTCTACGCTAATTGAAACCACTAATTTCGAAGTTCTGAATGAAGCTCTATACGGTAAAAAAACATCAATTGCTTGTTATATGTCGAAATTCTACCAGATTCTGTGATTCCCTCGGCTAGATTCCAGTTAATAGTAATACGCATTTAAGTCCCAATAAATATTTATACATTCCTCCATCATTTTATCATCTTATACCATTAAAACCATCTTATTCTGAGTTATTAGAAATCAAATATAGACCTACACCAATTAAAATATTATTACTTCATCAAATCAACATTTGACTCATGGATAAAAATCGGCTAAAATTTAGTGATAACAGCTTGAATGCTTCCATAAACTATTTGCTAGTATAAATATAAATAGAACGTCGAAAATAATTCGGCCATTTCTTAAAACTACAACTTGCTCTGAAAATACATGTTTTATGATGTATAAAACGTTATATAAATAAGCGTTAAAGTTTAAAATATTGAATGGCTGACTGGGGTTTGGATTTGCTGGAAGACATGTAGAGATTTTTGATGAATAATTGAAAAATTTTACCAGAACTCTAAGAACTAAGTTTCATTCAGAACCTCGAAATTAGTGGAATAAATTAGTGGTTTCAATTAACGTAGAAGTTTGTTCTTTTAATTGCAATGCAAGCATTGAGAACATCAAAATTAGTGTTAGGCGTTTTCAATTAGTAGAAATAGTTATTGTAGGCCAGTAAACGTAGCAGAGTATTATATGTAAAGGTGGAAAAAATTAGTAACCAACCAATCTCAACGGGAATATGTAAATAATATGATCTTCTATTTGATCTCTCAAAAGTCCCATTCGGTCCCAGTGGAGGAAGTTTAAAAAAACAGCCGCCATCTTGAATTTTTTCTTTTTTTTTTCAAATATCTCCGTTTGCATAACTTTTTTCGAAAAAACTAAAGATAGGTTTTTTGTAGGGAATTAGATTTAGAATATTTTGTCTTCAATCATTTTTTTTTTCTAAAATAAATAGTAATAGAGATAGGGCAATTTTTTACTATACGTTTTATAAATTTTCCAGTTTTTTTTAAACCAATCAGCTATAATTTTTGCGTTAACAGTATAGTGTTAAGCTCGAGTGTTAATATAGACAAACCAAGTATAAATTTAAGCACTAAAACAATTAAAAATAACGTTTAAATATTATTTATTAAATAAAATTATTGTTAAAAAAAATATTATTAAATTAAAGTTATTAAATCAAATCTGATATGACGTCATCCTGAGCGTCATTTTCGTCCTCAACTAAAATATAAAAGTTTGTGCAACTGATTCCGTAGCACTGACCACACTTTGAAGAACACTTAAGACGCAGAAATCTAAGCAGAATCTAAAAAATACAACTTATAACGTTTCTTATAATAGATATATCTTTACAATTACCTGAAAGTATGTCCTGAGTAAATGGAGTTTTGCAGAGATCTCAGCTGGAGGCAAATTAACTAAATTAAAGGTAGTCTTAAGGGCTTGTCTTGATGTAATCCTATTGTATAGAGTGTATCTAATAATAATAATATAATAATAGCTCCCGTATATAGCGTTTAACCCCTTGGGAGTAGCAAGGTACAGCTTGCCATGCTATGGTAGACGAGAGCTGTACCTCGACGTAAGTATTTTTAGAAAAAATTCTAACGAAGATGATGTTTCAATCAAGATTAAATTATCTTTTCATGCTATATCACTGCCCAAGCTATTATTAAAATATTAACCATCTGAGATACACTCTAGACAATAGGATTACATCAAGACAAGCCCTTAAGACTAACCATTAATTTAGCTAATTTGCCTTAAACTGAGAACTCTGCAAAACTCCATTTACTCAGTACATACTTTCAGGTAACTGTAAAGATATATCTATTATAGGAAATGTTATAAGCTGTATTTTTTAGATTCAAGAAAGAATTGGTAACAAGTGAGATTCTTTACAATATAGATCGAAAAATAAAAACACTAAATCACCACAATACACCAAAACACTTTTACTTTTACACTGGACGCGCGTTTCGCTAACCATGTTAGCATCATCAGCAGATGATTATAAACTAAAGTACAATCTACAAGTTGAGCGTTTATATACTCGCTCAGTGGGCACCGAGTGGGCGTGGCAAAATCTAGCCAACAGAGTCAGACAAAACGCAAGATTTATCCGGTCTACCATAGACATTGAAAAGTCGAATTTTCAGAAATCATTAACCTATACCTACGTTATCTAATTAATTTATCAACTAGTGAAGGAGAATATCCATTACACTCAGCTACATTCCTAATGTAATCTCTTTCTATTTCATATCTTTCGTTGGAAAGTGGGAAACTAAGTAATCTAATAGTAAAGTCTAAATTTAAATTAAAATATATTTAAATTTTTTTTTTAACACTTTGATGTGATTCATTAGGAATATATCTGCGTGTGGTCGTATTTTTCCTATAGATATCAAATTCCAGACAATTATTATTTTTTCTAATAACTAATACATCTAGAAATGGTAATCTGTCGTTGTTCTCAATTTCATGCGTAAATTTAATGGTAGGAAAACGATTATTTAACTATAATTTATTACTATAATTATTATATTATAATTATTATATTATAATTTATTAAAATTATCTATGGTGTCTGAATGTGTGTCAAAAACAGCAAAAATATCATTAAATTTACGCATGAAATTGAGAACAACGACAGATTACCATTTCTAGATGTATTAGTTACTAGAAATACTAATAATTGCCTGGAATTTGATATCTATAGGAAAAATAGGACCACGCGCAGATATATTCCTAATGAATCACATCATAGTGTTGAACATAAAATGGCTAGTTTAAATTGCTTAGTTCATAGATTACTTAGTTCCCCACTTTCCAACGAAATATTTGAAATAGAAAGAGATTACATTATGAATGTAGCTGAGTGTAATGGATATTCTCCTTCACTAGTTGATAAATTAATTAGAAAACGTAGGTATAGGTTAATGATTTCTGAAAATTAGATTTTTCAAGTGGGGAAAGATACGTCTAAATATTTTTCGATACCGTTTGATAGAGAGTTATCCCGTGGTCTAAAAGGAATTTTTAAGAATGTCAATTATAAACTTGTGTATATTGCTAATAATAAATTACAACAATTATTAGGTAATCCAAAAGATAAAACACCTCCACTGGAAAGGTCGGGTATTTATGAAATTTTTTGTAAAGATTGTAATCAGAAATATGTTGGGCAAACTAGAAGATCAATATTAACTAGATTTAAGGAACATTTAGCTCAGATAAGATATGGTAGACCGGATAAATCTTGCGTTGCCGAACATATTGTTGATAAAGAACATTGTATAGATCTTAATAATTTAAAATTAATTAAACAAGTCTCAAATTACAGGCAATTAGATGCATATGAAAGCATCAGAATTAATAAATGTAAAGATAGTATGAACAGAGTCAACGGTCCAATTCCTTCAAGTTCTTTGTTCCTACTACTCTAGTGGCGGAAATCTAACTGTTACGCTCAGTGGGCTCTGACTCGGTTGGCTAGATTTTGCCACGCCCACTCGGTGCCCACTGAGCGAGTATATAAACGCTCAACTTGTAGATTGTACTTTAGTTTATAATCATCTGCTGATGATGCTAACATGGTTAGCGAAACGCGCGTCCAGTGTAAAAGTAAAAGTGTTTTGGTGTATTGTGGTGATTTAGTGTTTTTATTTTACTGTGAAACACCAAAGGTTCCAACCCTCAACTGTAATATGGATGGAAGAAATATCAAAAAGGCAACCTGACACCTATTCAATCAACAGAAGATGTGGTGCCTCCTGACCTACTAAAATTAATTTTTGCAATTGCAAAGAGTCAGTGCTCTAAGAATTGCTCTTGTAGAAAACTGAAAAGTGGAAAATGTTCTTCAAAGTTTGGTCAGTGCTACGGAATCAGTCGCACAAACTTTTGTATTTTAGTTTTGGACGAAAATGACGCTCAGGTTGACCTCATAGCATATTTTATTTAATTTAACTTTAATTTAATATAATTTTTTTAACAATAAGTTTATTTAATACAAATACTTAAACGTTATTTTTAATTGTTTTAATGCTTAAATTTATACTTGGTTTATCTATATTAACACTATACTGTTAACGTAAAAATTATAGCTGATTGGTTTAAAAAAACTGGAAAATTTATAAAACGTATAGTAAAAAAATGCTCTATTTCTATTACCATTTATTTTATAGAAAAAATGATTAAAGAAAAAATATTCTAAATTTACTTCTCTACAAAAAACATATCTTTAGTTTTTTCGAAAAAAGTTATACAAACGGAGATATTTGAATAAAACTAAAAAATCCAAGATGGCGGCGGTTTTTTTCAAACTTCAAACTATTAAGCTTCATTCAGAACCTCGCAATTGGTGGAATAAATTAGTGGTTTCAATTACACTTAATACTTTTTAGTTTACGATCATTCGCAATGTTTAAAAAAACACACTTAAAATTAATAGAATATCTTAGCAACAGCTTGGCGGTAGTCAGTTGTATCCATAGAGAAAACCTAATATTTAGCTTATAAAACAATCAACTTTTGATTTCTAACCACAATTTCTCTTGACGAAAGATAATTAAAGGCCAAAATGACATGTGGTTAACCATAATATCTGTCAAATATTGCAAGAAAAATTAATATGTAATTCTCAACATAGAAATAAGATTTTATTTGTATTTCTGATAAATGTTAGTTGTGGCGATAACCAATCTAGTAAATAAAATAATAAAACTTACCTTTCTCACTTTCTTTCCTACTGCTATCGAATATACTAGTTGTTATGGCTTTTCTTTTCAGTAAATATGGCCTTCTTTTCTTGGTAGGAACTGACCCAATAGTTTCTGCAAAAATAAAGCCAAAATTAGTTTGATGCAATGTAAATTTCTTTCACATTTGGTAAACGAAATGTAAGTCATAGATTTCTTCAATATTTTAACAGCATTTAGTTTAGTAGATGTGATTTACTGTGTAATGGAATATTTTAGAGCAGACAACAAACCTAGCTTGTTAAAAGCGTATCATGTGTTTCCGCCCTTAAATTGGTTTTTTTCAGAAGATCGTAAAAACTGTTTAGAATGAAGGACCCGTTTCTATGGGAAAAACTAAATATTTTTCTGTTGGGTGTAAAATCCCACGTCCATAAATTAATATAATACTTGCTTTGAAAAAGCTAGAAACGACTAGCATCAGTCATTAAGGCTGTAAAACCCTAAATTTTAACTTCGAGATTATATATATAAGCAAAACCCCTAGAAAGCAATAAAACTCCTAAGACGACACTCTTCTCACGATAGACCTCCCACAGGCTAATACAAACAGATTTTGGATAAAAACAAGTATAATTGTTAATTTAAATATTAAAGTAAAGTTCACGTAATGATATTCTGAAAGTTAAGGAAACTTGAAGGTTATTATCTGGTTATTATTAAATCGATGGCGATAAAGTAATTAGCTAAAATGTTTATGACAAGGAGTCGCACAAGTAAATATGTCAACATCTGTCAGCAGCAGGAACAGTGGTCAACTAAGTAATTTCTTTTTGGTAATTAGTAATTGCACGTAATATTTCGTATATAGATAGAACTAATTGAAAGTCAGCGAACTCTCTCGACATGCAACGAAGTATTCACATGTCGTTATACAGTAATAAGGATTGTTGTGGACCTTTGTTGATTTGACTAAAATATTAAGTGTTTTTGGTTTCTGTAAGTATTTCTTGTATAATGGAATAACTTTTGTTTGATTAATAACTTGTTTTATATGTGTTTCTTAAAAAGGTTAAAATTTTATTACAGTTGGACAAATGGAAAAGTCAGCTGTGTTAATTTTTGTGAAATGGTTGCAAAACGTATTAGGCGTTTTGGCTTGTTGAATATGTATTACCTGGGTTTGCAACAATTTACTTATACTGCCGTATACTTCAATTTTTTTGTCAGTTTATATTCATTTCTTTTATGCATTCTAAAAAACATTAATAGCAAAAAATATGTTCTGCGTTTAGAGAGTTTAGGTAACCTTTGTAGATAACGAATTCTAGATGAAAATGGATGCACTTGTGAATTGGAACCAGATGTTTTTTTTGAGACCCCTGTTTCAATAGTAGGTACCTAGACGGGACACAATGAAGCGACGGTTACGTCTCATCGTTAGAGCTCCAACTTTTTACGAGGGTGTTTTAAAAAGTAGTCGTCGAAAATAAGAGAAGTAGATTTTCGACAATGTTCCAAAGATAAAGGGGGCGCATGTAAGTTGCGTAAGGCATGTAAGGTTATGTTTAGAAGAAGATGTTCACGGTTGGCAAATTGGTTTATGGGCTTCAGGTCAACGTTTCCTTTCAAACTACATACAGGACGTTGGATCTCATCTAGGCACTCACTAAGGGTGGCCAGACAGTCTCCGAAAAGCACAAGTAAGCACGAGAAAATGTAATATGAAGGAATAATCATGGATAGGAACATACATTAGTTTTGCGAGGAAGGAGCCGAAGGAATTTCTACTCCTAAGTCCAGAAGAGTTGCAAAGGACTATCGACAAACTAAAGAGGAAAATTCAGAAGTGTAGTGTGGACATATCAGATGTACGTCTAATTCTGCCACGGATTTGTCATCCAGGACAATGAGTGTGAAACCTGCGTTCACTGATAAGGAGGTCAGTGATGGCATACGAAGTCAAGGGGGCAGGAACCTATCGACTAGAGCGTGCCAAAACTCAGAGGGGCCGAAAACCCGAGTTTATGTTTTTTTGTCTGGAATAGACAGTACTGTCGGGTATTGACAGTGTGGAGGAAGTCCACAGGGCATGTGAAAGAAGTTCACAGCTAGGGGCACAGGGGATCCACTTCAGTCGATTATTGTATGCAAGTCAGGGGAAACAAGGTACTACACATAAACAACGAGCTACACTGTGAAGGCAGGAATGCTGAAGGACCACGTAGTGAGGAAAATTCGAACCCTCAATTCGAAGAGTACAATAGACCGCAAAGGTATACGAATAACTCATGGAAAAATAATAAACCAGAAAGTACTCACAAGTTTGAAACTACTGAATGCTGGCCACATTCTCAGTGAAGAATTAGCTTGCTCTAAGCAACCTAGTTCGATTAGGCTTCGTGAGGAAATAACTATACCAACTTTACATGGTTGCAAATATAGTGTATCTGTAAGTACTCGAGTCCCTACAGGCACTGTGATTTGTGAACTGTTGAACCATACTGCAGCAGAACTCTGCGGCTACGATAGCGAATTTTTCAGAACCCACTAAACAACAGAACAGAGAAATCGTTATTCGTATACTAAATTTGACAGCCACACCTCAGACCATAAGTAAATCCATCCCTCTCATAAATTTGGTACCTGTGGAATAATTAGACTGGACGATTCGTATAAACACCCAGATCGTTCATATGGGTTGCATTCAAAGATAGAATGTAGGCATCTAGATATGGCGGAGCAGGAGTTGGACTCCAGGTAAAAAGTATATATTTGCCCAGGATATAAACCGCTAAAAGTCAACAGGCATGTGAAACATCGGAAGAGGATAGAAACCTTACATGTGGGAAAAATCCTACACCAGATACGTTTGAAGATCGAACATCATATTGGAAGGGAAATATACTGGGTTAGAGAAAGATTCAGTGGGTTAGCATAATTCAGCATAGGTATTTCAAAAGGTTAAAACGACGTGAAGATTCAGACTAATAATTTGCTTAAAACGTAATAAGGTAAGTGGTAGTAGAATTGTATATTAACTGAATTTAGAAAGAACTCTTACCATAAAAGTGCGATACCTTAATTTCTATTTTTAGCTGGATATATTTTGTTTTTTTATATGTAAACGATAATCTATATTTACGCTCTGAAAAGTCGGTGTTCTCATTATCCAAGTTCTGCCTACCGCTCAGTAAATTATTTTAATTATAATTATATAAAGGCCACACTACCATGTTAACGGACAAATCTTGAAAGTTTTGTCACAACTGTAAAAAAGTTACCTACCTGTAGGAACTTTGACAGACACGCCCAAGTTTAAGGCTTGCAACTTTGCGATAGCAACTTTTTGCAAGACCTTCCTCTCTATATCCGTTAAATGCAATAAATTTGTATCTCCTAAAATTACTTCTCTCCCCGTCACGCTGGTCCACACACCGCTACCCTGAAACAAAAAAAAACAATATTAAGCCGAGAACACATCTAGCAAAAGTTACCATTCTATTGACATTCATTCGTATTTGCAGCCATTTACATAGTTGATCTGAAGTCAGTTGGAATAGACTGGGACTCTTAATTTTGGCACTGTCTTTGTCGGCATCGTCGGGATATACAGGGTTGTTCACCACATACGACACGGAGTATTGTAGCTAAACGATTAGATTTTTACAAATTTCAAGTTTTGGGTTCGATGAAGGACTATTAGAGGTACAATTTAAAAATAATTTACAAGATACAGAGTGTCCCAAATAAGTAAAAAATATCAAAGTTGTATTTTTTTAAATGAAACACCCTGTGTATTATTGCATTTTTAGTTTCTACGATTAAAATAAAGGTAAATTTGATTAAGGTTTATTACACTTAAACCTTACCGTTTTTGAAATATTTTCAATTTTGTGAAATTGCAGTAAAAATTTTAAGGCTTCATTTCTTCAAAGGTATCAAAGTTTTTAATACTAAATATTTACTGAAGTTTATTTGTTGATCAGTTATTGTGTTGCAATAATAAAAATTACACTACCTTATACAGAGTCTCTAAAAATTTATTTTAAATAATTACTAGCTTTAAACGGCAATAACTTGTTTAATTTAAATGGAACACCCTGTATATTTTATGAGAATCAGATGCATAATTTAATTGTCTATCAAATTGTATTATACCACTTTTTACCTATCCTGTCAAGTTTTCGTAGAAAATGCATTTTCTTATAATTTAGACCTCATAATAAATATATTATGGAACGGAATATTGACATTTTATTATTGACACCCATGGAATATTGACATCATATATTGACATTCTAGCAATATTATCGTTTTGCTAAAAACAATAATGTTGTATGCAAAAAGAAAACTATTTAAATCTTTATAAAAGAGTATACCATTAATTAAATATAGCACCATTATTTCCGCCCGTATACTAATTAATTACATACTTAATTGTATTCGTTAATAAATTATTCTAAATAAATGTGGATTTGTGTCAGAAATCAATATAATAATAAGTTATCAAAATTAAAGTCTCTTTGTTATAAATAAGCATTTATTAAAAAATGAAATATCATTTTTAAGGTGTTAGTTTTTATCACACTGTCTAATACCCATACAAAATTCAGTTTTTTTAGTATTTGGAACAATTATTATTAATCAATGCAGTCAGTTAATGCAGTTTGAATACTGGAATCATATTAATTGGCCCTCTTTAACAAATATTTAAACAGTTTTTTTTATTTTTTAATGAAATAAACGAATTATATCCAAAATATTAGTATCTGTACTCTTTAAAAATTTGGTACATCTTTAAAAATAATCTAAAATGTCAATATTCCATGGGTATATTGATAAATAAAATCTAAATTACAAGAAAATGCATTTTCTACGGAAACTTAAAGAGGTAGGTAAAAAATGGTATAATATAATTTGATAGACAATTAAATTGTGCATCTGATTCTCGTAAAATATATAGGGTGTTCCATTTAACTTAAACAAGTTATTGCCGTTTGAAGGTAATAATTATTTAAAATAAATTTTTAGACACTCTGTATAAGGTAGTATTATTTTTATTATTGCAACACAATAACTGATCAATAAATAAACTTCAGTAAATATTAAGTATTAAAAACTTTGGTACCCTTGGAGGAATGAAGCCTTAAAATTTTTACTGCAATTTCACAAAATTGAAAATATTTCAAAACGGTAAGGTTTAAGTATAATAAACCTTAATCAAATTTACCTTTATTTTAATCGTAGAAACTAAAAATGCAATAATATACAGGGTGTTCCATTTAAAAAAATACAACTTTGATATTTTTTACTTATTTGGGACACTCTGTATCTTGTAAAATTATTTTTAAATTGTACCTCTAATAGTCCTTCATCGAACCCAAGACTTAAAAAATTCATCGTTTAGCTACAATACTCCGTGTCGTATGTGGTGAACAACCCTGTATAATACTTCCAATTGACTTAGGAAATAAACTCATCAGCAAAAGTCTTGCACCTCCCAGATAAATTTATTTCCTTGCATAGCATATTGTTGTGGCTATGTGTACAAATACCTTAATATGTGTCAAAAAAATAGGTCATAAAAGCAATGAAAGAAAACCTTATCGATGGAATGTGTATGGTTTTGCTATTTGCGGTCAAATTTTGTTTCTTAGTTCGAGTTCAATCTTGTAGTTAATGTTGTAAAAGGCCACAAAAATGCCAGGGCACGAAATTTCTGCCTTCGATAATGCCCGAATTATCACTTTGCATGAAGAAGGTCTCAGCAGGCATCATTTGCTGATCGTTTAAATTTAGTGCGAAGTATTGTAAGCCGAATTATACAACGGTATATGGACACCGGAAATGTAAGATCTCGTCCTAGGTTGGGCCGTACAAGGGTAACGACTGAACGACAGGATCGCTACTTGGCTCAATTTGCCAGAAGAAATGGGTCAGTTCCAATTCGAGAGCTACGATCTCAGTTTCAACGAACTTACCACCGAGTGATATCAAGCCGAACCATTTCCAGGCGACTTGAATGTCCACTGTGAGTCCTTCTATTAACTTTACACCATAGGCAAAGGAGGCTACATTGGGCTAGAGAACACCAGAACTGGTTATTATCTCAGTGGAGAAACGTAATTTTCACTGACGAAACCAGGATAGGTTTGATCAGTGATGACTATCGTCAGCGAGTGTGGAGGGAGGGAGGGAGGAAGCATCGCTTGAATACAGCTCTTCTGTTACTCCTTATCAAGGAGGAACTGAGATGTTCTGGGGTGGCATCGTGTACAATAGGCGAACAGAGCTCATTCATATTCCTGAGGTGATGGACGCTCATTTGTATGTGAAAACTGTAATCAGACCAATAATTTATCCACTGCGAGAAGAAATCGGCAATAATTTTATTCTCATGGATGATAACGCTCGTCCTCACAGAGATAGGATGGTCCAGGAAGCATTAAATAAAGGGAAGACGACTGGACTGGCCTCCACTCTCCCCCCACATGAATCCTAGTGAACATGTCTGAGACTACATCACCAGAGCTGTATTTTGCAGCAATAACCCACCAAGAAATCGCTAGAAGTTGATCTTTGCCGCTCAAGGGGAATGGCAGAACTTACCTCAAGAAATCATACACAACCTTATAGTGGGGATTGGGGATGCCCCGACTACTTGATGCACTCATAACAAATCGAGGAGGCAATACTTTATATTAGTTTATTAACTTTTTTTTGCGCTAAGATCAGTGTCTAAGGAACTTAACTCATCAACATCTAGAATGGTCTATTATGCCCTTTTTGAGTCGCATCTTCGTTATGCCCTTCCATTTTGGGGTACTTGCTGCGCGACAAAATTTTATCGTATTTTCAAACTTCAAAAGAGAGCAGTTCGATACTTATTGGGACTAAACAGTAGAACTCACTGCCACAATTTCTTTAAAAATTTCAAAATACTGACTCCGTTTGCTTAATCCGCAAGCACATATTCTCTATTCCGGAAAGGCGTTCTCACAACTATCCAATTAGGAATGCGGAGCACGATATTTATCTGCCAACCCCGAGCTCAGAACTAGTTAAGGGCTCAGTACTGTACAATGCCAAGAAAATGTACAATCATTTGCCTTCGAATATCAAGTCACTTTCATTCTTTCCCGCATTTCGCAAAGCTCTGAAATCATACGTACTGGAGAGAGCCCTATATGCGGTAAACGACTTCTTTGTTGATGTTTAATCATGAACAATTTAGAATTTTAATTTTAATATTTTGATCATCTCACACACTGGTTAAAGGTCTAGTATTTAATATTTTATAACTCTTGATTTTATGTTATTATAACATGATTTTATCCATTTACAGTTTTCCTTTTGTAAAATTTTCTAGATACGCCTGTGTTCTGCAATGTCCATATATGTTTTATTTGTAATTTTATGACGTATTTTTTTTTAAATTGATTTGTATTGTATGACATTTTTTGTATTATTTGTATATTTGTTTTTGTGCTTTTTTTGTTTTGCTTTGTCGATGAAGCTGTTTTGGCTTTTTGTACAATAAAGCGTTGTTTTTTTTTTCTTTAAAAAAATTATACTTAAACCATTAGATTCTACGTTAAAAAGTGCCTTCGAATGTTCGAAATGCCACAAAAATGCAAAATATTCCATAGCAAAAAAGTTACAACGACTTTTTAAAAATGCCCATTTTTCACACCCCGCAACTCATAAACAGACACCGATATTAGTTTTCGTCTATCTCCTATAGAAAACGGTGATTCCCTGTAAAAGCGTCGAATTTGATCCACCCTGTATATATTACATAAGCTTATTATAAATTTTTTTCTTTGAAATTCAATCAAAGCAAAATTGTTCTAAAAATAGGCGAGACTATCCGATTCCACTATTCCTGGAACGCGTAATTTTATTTTTAATCCAATTAATTTTCTGTTTAATAATTAAATCTGCCTTTAATCCAAACATTGTTCGAATAAAAAAAGATTATTTTTAAAACTAGGAATTATGGGAGCATTTATTTTTTTGTACTTTCTGACTTATATACGCCGCGATATTGCGTGGATGGCAAATAATGAATTTCCTCTAAGATTACTTTATACAACAAACGTGTTAATCTCTAATGAATTAGTCTCCATTTCCAAACAAGAGAATTTGTTTTTTTTGTTACAGTGACAAGTTTAGAGTAACAAATGAAAATTAATGTTTTTTATTCGAAATAACACATTTTTTGGTTTATGTAAAAAGCAAAAAATAACATACGTTCGAAAAAAATAGGGCGTCAGTGTAGGCTTGGAAAGAAAAATCGACGAATGTGACTAATACTCGTACCCACAAAAGGAAAATGCCACCTCTCCAACTCCCAATGTACAGGGTGGGTCAAATTCGACGCTTTTAAATGGAAACACCCTTTTCTATAGGAGATAGACGAAAACAAATATCGGTGTCTGG